CCTAATTTAAGTCATTAGTGTTGAGGAAGTGTCTTGAGTTGATCAGTCCTTGTGCAATTTTGAGCAATTGAAGGTCTTGTCAGAAATATCTTGAGAAATGAGAGGGGGAATTTTAGGGTACAACAGCTGCCCCTGTTCAATCATCTTAATCCTGAAGAGTTAGATTGGCGGATTCGTCATTCGTGACTTGAAGGTGAAAGATGATTGAACACTAGAGTGCCCATAAATTTGCACTCGATAATGCGGCTGATTGTATCGAGAATGAACTTAATGATGCTATTCTGGATGTCTGTTGGTGGAGACTGGAAGAAGTATCGGAATAAATCTTTGGCTGATTTTTGCTGAAACTATAGATGTCTTTTGCCTGTTGTTAATTGGGAGAGATAAATCTGATCTAGAAGAGGACTTGCCTGATGATTGATTTCTTCCTGCAAGGAAGGGAGGGTAGTTGCATGCAGATGTATGCATGGTTTAATGATGTTCTCAAAATAAATGATATTATGCTATATGTATTTGTTATGTATGTGAAATGATGTATGAATGTGAAACACTAAAGTGTATCTTTGTCTAAAATGAAACCCTGACAAATTGCGGGGGAGTTTTAGGAAATTAAATCCCGGATTACTGCTGGAGATGAAGAGTATGTATGTCTTTGAACTTTGTTCAGAGTGCTTCTTGTTGGGAATTTCTGATTTTTGAGGAGAACTCCGCTGGGGAATAATGATTTTGGCTCTTTATTTTCTGTGGAGTGTGTTGATTTTCTGCTTGGGGGAAAGAGCTCAGGATTTCTAGTCGTTTGTTGCTCTAGTGGGGAATTATATCTTGAAAGTTAGTTATTATCTGGTTGGATTCCTGGTTACACACCAAGTTGCTGGGGGTAGTGGCAAACTCTACCCGGGAAGAGGAGTTTTGTTAGTGATTGAAGAAGTTAAACTAGTATCTGGTTGGGTCCAGGCTTTGCAGTAATTTGAACTTGAGTTTAACTGATATCCAGTCAGGTCCAGGTTTCAGCAATTTGGAGAAGTTGAACTATTATCTGGTCGGCTCCAGGCTTGATATTAATTTGAACTGTTATCTGGTCGGGTCCAAGTTTTAGTAACTGGAGAAGTTAAACTATTATCTGGTCGGGTCCAGGCTTTAGTAACTTGAAATTGGGATTAACTATTATCTGGTCGGGACCAGGCTTTAGTAATTTGGAGAAGTTAAACTGTTATCTTGTCAGGTCCAGGTTTTAGTAACTTATAATTGAGATTTACTATCATCTGGTCGGGTCCAAGATTCTGTAGCAACTTAAACTGTTCTCTGGTCAGTTCCAGTCTTCACAGTAAATTAAGGGTAGGATAAAGTTGAACTAACATTTGGTCGGGTCCACGCTTCGTAGTAACTTGTTTGGATAGGAATGAAATTAAAATATTATCTGATCGGATCCAGGCTTCATAGTAACTAGCTTGGATATGGATGACTCTGTTGAGGATTAAGGGGTTTTGCCCATTGACTTGTAATAGTCTGAGAGATGCACTCGAGCTGGGGAATTTTCCATTTGTTGGGGAAATAAACCCTGTTGAAGAGAATATTTGATGACCTGTGGAGGAAGAGTATCTTTCCACAAGATTTCATTTTAAGACCAACTCAGCTAGGGAGAGGGTTTTCAAGAGATTGGGACTCTGGATGGGAATTATATGAATGCAACTCTGTGGAGATAATGTTAATGAGATAAATATGTGGAGATATCTCACATGTATTAAATAGATGCTTGTTACTGCTTGCAAGTATACATTTGATAAATAGTTTAATCATGTTCCTATGCATATGTTCATCCAATACAAAAAAAGTTTTACACTTCAAAGTATTTTTTTATTTATGTTTTGCCCATTAATAGGTGTTTTTGTACGGAGATCCTAGTAAGAGGAAATCGTCGAGAGGAATATAAACTGTAAACAAAAATAAATAGCCATTTGGAAGTTATCTCATTGTGTTCCAACTCCCCCATTGCCCCGATGTCTTCAAACCTCCCTTACTGTTGAAAGAAGTTGATTGGATTGATCTTGGACCATTTGAATCTGGACCTTGGTAATAAAGCTGGCTGTAAAGACCCCGCGAGACATAGTCATACGCTTTCAATCCTCAACTTTTTCCTGGATCGCCCTTTAGGGTTTTCATCCCACCAGGATAACCATTTTTGCCCATGTCACCCTTTCGGGTTTTCCACTTGTCGGGTGTACAATCTTTTATATATATCCCCAACTTTTGCCTGAAACTTTTGGTTCACTGGGACGCCCTTATTTTTTCCTAGGTGTGTCAACCTAGCAGGTCATTTTATGCATAGTATTTTTTAACTATATCCGCGTTCACAGGATGTGGGAATTCTTCAACATCCATAGTAGTCAGCGTCATGGCACCACCAGAGAAAACTTTCTTTACAGCGAATGGTCCTTCATAAGTGAGAGTCCATTTCCCCCTGGGATCTCCTTGTGGAAGAATAATGCGCTTTATTACCAAATTGCGAACTTGATACACTCGAGGCTTGTTCTTGTTGTTGAAAGCCTTGATCATACGCTTCTAGTACATCTGACCATGACAAACAACGACCATTCATTTTTGATCAATCAAGTTTAACTGATCCAATCTAGTCTGCACCCACTCGTCTTCTCCCAGATCTTCTTCTTTCATAATCCTTAGGGAAGGAATCTGAACTTCTATAGGCAAGACAACTTCCATACCATATACCAAAGAGAAAGGAGTTGTCCCAGTTGACGTTCGAGCTGAAGTACGGTAGCATTGGAGAGAAAATGGTAACATCTTATGCTAGTATTTATAGGTTACCACCATCTTTTGCACAATCTTCTTGATATTTTTATTGGAAGCTTCCACTGCGCCATTCATGTTGGGTCTATACGGAGAAGAATTGTGATGCTTGATTATGAATTGAGTGCAGAGTTCCGTAATCAGAGTGTTGTTGAGATTAGTTCCAATGTCATTTATAATCCTTTCGGGGATACCGTAACGACATATGAGGTTGTGCTTGATGAATCTGGCTACAACATTCTTCGTGGAAGAGGAAAATGAGGCATCTTCGACCCATTTGGTGAAGTAATCAATAGCGACAAGAATGAAGTGATATCCATTGGAAGCAGTATGTTTGATCTCTCCAATCATACCAATGCTCCATATTGCAAATGACCACGGAGCAATCATGACATTTAGAGGAATAGGAGGTACATGGACCTTGTCAGCATAGATTTGACACTTGTGACAAACCCTTGATGATGACAATCATTTCCTATTATGAACCAATAGTAACCAGCTCTCAAGATTTTCTTGGCCATAGTGTGCCCACCAGAGTGAGTCTCAAAGATTCCATCATGCATGTCTTCCATAATTTTATCTTCCTCTTTCTTGTCCACACACCAGAGTAGAGTAGAATCACAATTTCCCTTATACAGGATTCCATTGCTTAGTAAGAATTTGGTTGAGAATCTTCGTAAGAATTTCTTATCATTGATGGAAGCTCCTTCTGGATACTCTTGTGCTTCAAGGTATCTCCTTACTTCATGGTACCATGGTTTCTCTTCGTCAGTGTCAAGCTCATAGTAGTGTGCAGGTTCGACAAATCTTTCGATTGTAATCATAGGAGCTTCTTGTCCCATTTGACCTTTAACATGGAATACATTGTTGCCAAGGCATCAGCCAACTGATTTTCTTCTCTAGGAAAATGTTCAAAGGTGATCTCCTCGAAGTATGGTATTAGGGTTAACATAAGCTCCTTGTAAGGAATAAGGTTAGGATGCTTAGTTTCCCATTCTCCTTTGACTTGACTGATCACTAGATCAGAATCTCCGAATACGTTTAATAACTTTATCCTTAAGTCAATGGCAGCCTTTAAACCCAAGATGCACGCTTCGTATTCAACCATGTTGTTCGTACAATTGAAGCACAAACTAGCAGTGAAAGGAGTAGGGAAACCCTCAGGAGAAATAATCACAACACCAATTCCATTGCCTAAAGCGTTGGTGTAATACCCCAAATTTGTCCTACCCTTCTACTTTTATCTGGTTTATGCATTGTCGCGCTTTTATCATGTACATATCCCCATTAGGTCATTTAACATTGCATACATTCGCTAACAACATAATTTGGCATGGGATCAGAGATCTTGAAGGATTAGGGTTTTACAGTGGTTAAGGCGTTCATATCCAATAAAGGTCGATTCCTTTTGCAGAGGCATTAAGGTTGTGATATGTGGTTATTGATATTTCTTTCTCCTTAAGGTACAAAGCTATTATTTCCATATCAACAGAAGGTCGCAGGGTTTTCCTCTTTAGAGCTATGAACATAGGGTTTATATCCTATTTTTCTCAGGTTTGTCAATATTTTTACTGGATGTTTGATGGATAGAAAAACATGATAAAAGGAGGGTGTTGTGAATTCATTGTGATCAAGGCATTATTGTCCTCTCAATTTCTTATTACTTTTAGAGCAATATAATATGAATTTGAGATCGAGGTTATGAGTTTTTATAAGAAGGCAAGTTGATTTAGGTTTTTGTTTGTTAAGAATTAAAGTTAATTTGGATTCATTGAAACTACTAATTGTGCTCAAGATTAATATTAGCTCAAGATCTCAATTTCATGATTTGGAAACGGTTGATTCAAGATAAAGTTAGAAGATTCGTTCATGTGGTTCTCTTGGTGTACAAGTTACGAATTTTCAAAGAATTACAAGTCATAACATCATTCAAGATTGTTCATTTTGTTTTGTTCATCAAAACTCATCAAGATCCAAGGGTTCACATTCATTCAATGATATGATCTTTACAAGTTCTAAACATCATGCATGATTTGTCAAAGTGTTATCCAACATCATTCTCGGTTATAACCATGCAATTTACAAGCTATGTTATTGGAGCATTACCAGAGAAAATTACAAAGGCCATTTACATCCAAAATTACTAAATCAAAACAACAAACACACACTGCATCTTCCTTCTCCTCTCCCTGCACATGGCATCCAACAGCTTGTGTCCTCCGGTTAAAAACATTCTTCTTTTAGATTCTGAAGGGAAGCGTGTGACAGTTAAGTATTACTTATATGACTGGCCGACAAACAGTTCAAAATTATCTTTTGAGAAGTTTTGTGTTTACTAAGACTGTTAAGACAAATGCGCGGACTGAAGCTGAGATAACACTGCTTGAGAACAATATCATTGTTTACAAATTTGTGCAAGACCTGCATTTCTTTGTCACTGGCGGTGATGATGAAAATGAGCTTTGGCATCAGTTCTTCAGGGTTTCTTCGATGTAGTCATCCTTTTGCTGAGGAGCAATGTTGACAAAGATGAGGCACTTGAGAACTTGGATCTCATTCTTTTATGTCTTGACGAGATAGTTGACGGAGGAATTATTCTTAAAACAATTGTCCCTGCATCAGTTAAAATACAAGTTCAGCCCTGTATCAAATTAATAAAACTAGCTTAGGAAAAAATTCAAAACAATTAGCAAATGTTTAACAGTTTCATTCAGATTCTAGAATAACCACTCTAACCGAATTCCAACTACCATAACAGCGCACATAAAAAAGGAGTTTATAACAGAATTTCCTAACAAACCTCTCCATAACCAACTGTAACTAGATCCTAACCACCTAAAAATTCTAAGCCCCTAATCAACTACAAAAAAAAAACTATTTTCTAACCAACAAATGACAGAAAAAAAAGAGAGTAGAAACTGACCTTGGTAAAATTCTACACCTAGAGGGTTTTTCTGACACATCAGTGGCTCCTCATCCTCCAATCTTCATTCATCAACCTCTCTAACCTTCTTCAACATTCATGCTTCTTTTTCCATCATGTTGACCTTCACCCCTGAAACCATTCACTCTCAGTCCTCTTAATTCATTCCTTCACTCTGTAACACCGATCTTCAAGAATCACATCCTCAACTCTCTCAGCATTCTCTTTCTCTAGTCGTCTCATTCTCCATTCTTCACTTATTCCAGAAGAATAATTCACCAAAATCCGCATATTCATCATCTTTATCGAAACCGAAGGGAACTTCAATCTTCAATCTATCAAGAACGCGTCAATCTTCAATGTTATCTTCATCACTCACATTCTCTGCATAAAAAAACAGCAAGATTTCATCATTATCAGAATCAGAAACATACCACAAGGAATCGCAAGAAATCAACAACAATTTGCAGAATCGGAAGAAGAGAAGGAAGAATTGGGAGAAAAATATGCAACTATGCTTCTATGAGATATCGGTGATGGTGAAATCAATGTGTAACTATGTTTGAAGTTGAGTCTGAATCGAAATTGTGCCTGAGGTTGAGTCGCAGAGGACCCCGAAGCTAAAGCATTGATGAAGACACGAATGTGTGAGACGGACGCTCGCGTCAGAAACAGATGAATGCAGACGAAACCGGAGATCACATTTAAGCGATTGAAACCATGCCATTCATTCAGAGAATAAGAGGTTGTGTTGAGTTTGAGAAGAGGAAGGTGATAGTGTCATCGTTTCTTTCAGAAGCGAAGAGGAAGGAGACAGTGATAAATGCAGCAGTGACGCCGGTTGCAGAGAGAGCTGAGAAAGGAAGCGGCGCCACGAGAGGAAGGAAGAAGAACTTGTGAATCTGATGACCACTTTTGACCTAACCACAACAAAACACTGCCGTTCACCGTTCATTTATTATTTTTTTATTTTATTGATTTGAGATTTCAATTATTAATAATAATGCAATAATGTTGGAAAAAGTTTGAAATGGTGTAGGTGGACCAAACCATACTCCCTCTTAGCCCACTTTAGTTTTTTTTTATATAACAAAGCTGCTGAGTATTGGTGATACATAGACTGGCCCAAATTGCACTTTGTTTTTGAAAATCAAGTGCAGTAACAACAAACAAAAAATGTGCTATTGGACTGAATTCTAATTGGGCTTTATCCACTTTCTTCTTATGCAATGCACCCTCTAAGTACTTTCTATTCTTTTTTTTCTTAATAATTTTGTGTGATATTTCTACATGATTTTTTCTTAATTGTTTACATGATAAAAATTCAAAAAAATATTAGAATAGAATTTTACTTCTTTTATTAACTTTGTTTTTTGTTATTTTATCCATGTTTTTGGTAGATTTTAATGCCAATTTTGTGTGAGATTTTGAAATAAAAGAGACTTGAGTGAGGAGTTTCATGAAGTTTCGAAGAAAGTATAGAACCACAATTCTCATCAAGAAAATTCAAGGAGGCTTCTGTAGAGTTTTCTTATGGCTTGCATGGTTATGAAGAGGCAACAGACCTTCTCCGTTTGGTATCACCATGACCTTCATTTTATTCCCCATTTTCGCACTTTATTGCTTTCTAGATACCATGAGAAGTAGGAAATAAAGAGCGTGCGCTCGAAGTCGCTATTTAAAGACCTGTAGCAGGCATTCCACACTTCATTTTCTATATGTGTTGTGCTTGTGTTGTTTACGTTCTTGTTGATTGATGAGTCACTCAATTTAACAATTGAGATCACAACTTCGCTCTCAGTGCATGCTCCCTATAGGACTTTATCGCTTTCCATTCTTTCTTGTTGATCGATGAGTCACTCAATTTAGCAATTGAGATCACGACTTCGCTCTCATTACAAGCTCCCTATAGGATAGTTTTTTAGACTTTTCTTCTACATGCTAAACTAGGCAGGATCTCTTTAGTTGTGCTTTTTTGCTGGCTTGCTTGCTTTATCCTTGTACATACCATGTTCCCTTAGGATACGCTTGCTCCGTTCGGATACAAGTTAGACCTTAGATTGCAAACCATGCATGCTGACATCAGGTAGAAACTTCCCTTTTGTTAGTCCAAACCTTAGGACCACCATTGTATGATAACATTAGATTTAGAAATAGGCTAGTCTCCCTTAAACTTTTTTCTTCCCATTTGCATGTGCATTCAAAACAAAAACTTCTTTTCTCAACAAATCAAAAGATTGCTAATCATACGTAAACCCTTTTTCAAGGTAACAAAAATATAAACCAATTCAAATCATTTTGTGCACTCGAGCACCCTTTTATCTAAAACCCTTTTCAGGTAAGGACATGATTAGTTTAATTTTGTGCCAACTCATAAGTCTCCAAAGGTCGAGCTGCGGCAGAAGGCGGAATTAACATTGTTCATAAAAAACACAAAACAAACAAAAACATGTGAGTCGAACTACGGTAGCTTTGATTCCTCAAAAAGGATACGTAGGCATTGGGGTAGGGCCCAGGCGAGCACAATTTTATTTTCCCTACATTCTTTTCTCCTTTCTTTTGCATGCATTCTCCCTTCAGTAGTATAGTAGACATTAAGCATAGATTAAACACACCCATAAGATAGATAACAAGAGTGGATATCGTAGAGTACTACGGGCGTGTGGGGTGCTAATACCTTTCCCTCGCGTAACAGACTCCCTTACCCGATCTCTCAGTTGCAAGACCGTGACTTCTCCCTTCTCAGGTTTTCTCGATGTTTACCTTTCCCTACATATGGGATAAAAGACGTTCGATGGCAACTTCATTGTTTTGATTTTCATCCGGTTGTTTCAGTTGGAATCTCCACGAAAAACCATAGTCCATCGGGATCCTTGTTCAGGTCCGCCATACTGTCCAGGTTCTTCACAGTCAGTTACTAGCATAATATTCTCATCCAGGAAGTAAATGTTCAAAGACTGGTAATCATTAACAACTTGATGGGCCAATACACTCCCTTTGATGGCCTTTTGTGTGGTATACTGGATGTCATATTCGGTTAGAATCATTTTCCATCTAGTTATTCGTCCGGAGAGAGCTGGTTTCTTGAAGATGTACTTGATAGGATCCATCTTAGAAATCAATAAAGTGGTGTGAGCCAACATATATTGTCTTAGCATTTACATTTCATGCTATTTTAATCTTTTCTCACTTGAGAATTTATCTTTATGTCTTTTCATTTTGCTCACTTGAGCTTTTCATTCTCTTTTTGAAGATACTTAATAACCAACTTGAACAATAAAAAACTTTAAGGTTACTTGGACTATTTGGTAACTATCCTTGGCATTTTGGAGTTATGGACTTCTTGGACTTAGGATTAGAGACCTTGACCTACCTTTGGGTCCTTGTGACTTCGACTATTATTTTTTCTGGAGTTGTTGGGGTTTACTCTAAGACATTGGGTTGTTTGTTTTCTTTGTGTGTTGGTTATTCTGATTTTGTGCTTTGTCTGTGATTGGGAATTCATCTGTATACAACCATTACTCTGCCCAATTTTTGTGAAGACTTAGTGAATTTGAAGCTTGGTTTTCTTAAGAGGTTTAGTATCTTTGCTTTCTTGGTTTCAATCCAAAAAATGGGAATTCTACATTGACTCATTGTGTCAAGTGTTGGCTTCTTGTTGGTTAGATGGTTCTTTTCCCTAGCTTTTACCTTATGCTTTAGGATAGTCCCTTCATATCCTCCCATCTTCTTTAATTTCAAAAATCTTCTCCCTCCTTTTGGAAACTCTTCTTGTTTTTAAACTTGAACTGCTTTCGCAATAAACTTGGACTTAGGTCCATGAATTTTCAAAATATTTTCTTAATCAAATTTTAACCAACTTAATCATATCTTGACATTTTTTGTGAGAAGACTAAAAGTAAATCAATCTCATTCAAACCATTTTTCCACTTCAGCTTTTTATCTTAAAATTTTCTCAAAAGATTGTACTCTTGTCAATCCTTGTAGTGATGCGAGCTATTATACTTCTACGATATGTAGTGAAGTGAGATATTTTCCACGTGGGTGTTGAGAGAGACTTTGTTGATTTAAAATCCAAGCTATATCCTCCACTTCGAGACTATACGAATTCTCCTTTCTCATAATTATCGGTAGTAAGTATGTTCCTTAACTCAGATAAGACGATGGTGTCTTATCTCTTAAAATTAACCAACACATTTGTGTTTTAAATTTTCAAAGGTGAACTACGAGTACCCTGATCCCCTATTACATGGAAGATGGTGGTACATAGGTTCTAAAGATTCGCAACCGCGGAGGGTGAAAAAATTGTAAAAAATACTTCTTTTCCCATCTCCACCATATATTTTTTTATACAACATTTATAGCCAAAATACATAAATTTACAAAGAGGTTCCTGCGGAGTACCATAGATGTTTAGGGTGCTAATACCTTCCCTTTGCATAACCAACCCCTAAACTTAGATTCTCTCCCCCTCTTTTTGGGTTATTCTTTCTTTTCCCATTACTTTTGAAACAATAAAGCACGGTGGCGATTTTTATTTGATCTGTGTGAGTTAAGTCAATCTAATGGCTTAGTCTCAACATTTCTACCGCTGCAGAAAAAATGGCGACTTCACTGGAGAAATATCAACCAAATGTTGGTCTATCCCTAAGTGGATTGCGCCTATCTTTGTTTGTTTACGTATGTGATATTATTGTTTGTATATTATGTGTTATATATGTTTGTTTGGATTTTCCTGGTTTTCAGGGATCTTGGTGATTTCTCATAAGTCGCCTATCCAGACTTGGGCAAACTTAAGATAGGACAGGCGGTATAGTCATGTTAACTTTGAGGGAGTAATCCCAAAAAAGGAGGCATGAAATCCCCCACTTAGTGGAGGCCCCTTTGACTGTAGTGTCGTTTACTGAGTAATCGGTAAGACAAGCCACTTTCGACATGGGAGCCTGCTGAGGACCATAAAACCCTTAACCCATCTTGGCCTCTTAGGTGTAGTGCGAAAATTATGACAGAGTAATCCGAGAATGGTTGTCACGCGATACTACACTCAGACGAGTTTTTCCTGAGAATATTACTAATTACCGAGTCAATCGGGACATTGGTAATATCCGAAGGAAGGATGTAGACTTTGGGAACCTCTTAGAACCTTATTCGGCAGGCGATAAACTATTAGACCATACCTTGTGGGTAGTACCTTTAACTTCATGCTCGTGATGTCAAACCTATGAACCCCCCATGTTTGTGATTGTTGCATCATGCATTCATGCACCCATGAGCATCGTTTAAAACATTTTGTTTCAAGGGACTTAAAGTTGACTTTTTGTGAATATCTCAGGTACTTTTGACCATGAATTCTGGAAAAAGAAAGACTCGAGTAAAGTTTCAAGGATCCTAAGATAGATGATTTTATGAGTTTGATTCCCGAGATCGAGAGTTTTACAGATTTTCGTAAGAAGTATGGATCCATCGTGTCTCTTATGAAGCTCAGGATGAAGGAGGGTATTCTCTCAAATTTGGTCCAGTTCTATGATCCAATGTATCGATGTTTCACTTTCCCTGATTATCAGTTGATGCCTACATTGGAGGAGTATTCTTACCTACTGGGTTTACCAATCACCGATCGTGTTCCTTTTACTGGTTTGAAGGGAGAGCCAAAGTCCCATGAGATAGCTGCTATGGTTCATTTGGGGAATTCTGAGATTCAGGCCCACATGATTACCAAAGGAGGAATTAGAGGATTACCCACTGAGTTTTTATTGGAGAAAGCTCGTTATTTCGCCAAGATGAAGAACACAATTGCTTTTGAGGCTATCTTTGCTCTACTTGCTTATGGGTTGTCCTTATTTCCTAACATCGACAAATTTGTGGATGTCAATGCTATCAGGATCTTTTTGATTTGGAAT